CCGCCCTCCTGTCTTTCCTAGAAAATGAGTGAAGTGTAAGCGATTTATGCTCACAAGTTTTGGCCTGAACTGTCGAAACAGTAAAGGACTATCTAATTTCGGAATCTCAAAATAACACAAAACCTAGTCATTTCTGGTGAAATAATGCACCCTCCCCCCTTCCCCCCTCTCCCGGGGGCGGATGGATGTTTAACCAAGAAACACCTAGAGCACTTTCTTTTTTTGTTATATAACTGCTGAAGTTGTTTATTATGATTACTTTTTGTTCATTGGAAATCGTGAATCGAGCAAAGTATTGGTTGGGATTCGTGCATAAGTCCGTGCGGTTCTTCATTGGACTGGTATGCGTTCAAGTAAGCCTGTGCAATTTTAGTGTACATCACTGAGTGAAGAATGTGTGAGTGATTTATGATATGTATATATCAGTATTGTATTTTACTTCAATGTAATGTAGTGTAGCATATTTTATAGTAATAAAACAGCACGAATTTATGCACCAACCCAAGACATCCAGAGAGAGAGAGAGCTGAACAAAACAGCCCCCGCTTAGAAGCCAAAACGATGAAATACTCACATTCATATAGTAATCATCCACTCTCATTGGCAGGCGAGGCTTCTAGCATGTGCCGATTTGCTTCCGCCAATGACTGTCACTCCTGATCGTTAATTTCTGGCAATCGGGGCTTCTTGCATTGACGCCATCGCCCGCATCATCTCCTGAAGTGCCGCGGGCGGCACTATAGTCCATAGCTCGGACCAATCAAATCCTCGCAATTTCAATTCCCAGCTAAAACAACAATACTGGAAGACGTAACATATTTGCTAAACGGCTAAAATACGAGTACGAGATCACATTACAGTCCCGACACACGTGTGCACCTAAACGCTGGCTTTCATAAGCCGATTGTAGCAACCAGGTTGACCTTGGAAGTCTAAATGGTGAAGACGTGACGGGTTTTAGCATGAAACGATAGTACGAGAGAAGTGGACAAGACGTTCTGGTCCATTAAGCCATGTACGCCTGAACTCAACACCGCGACAGGACCTCGTCAGCATGACGGTTGCAGTGCTTAATGATAAAGGACTCTCCTCCCACCCTCCGTTGCCTCCGCTCCTAAGAATCCCATCCTCCCCCTCCCTCACCTCCCATAATCCATCCTGGATCCGCCTGTGACCAACATGCTTTTGAGCGGATGACTGTCA